TAAACACTAGACCCTAAACCCTAACTCAGGTGAAGGTGGCGAGGCTGAGCCTCAGGACGGCGAAAGTTCCGGATTGAGGAAGCCGATGTCCAGGACAATGGTTTCAGAGCTTAGGATGTAGAATTCCAAGCTTTGGAGTTCTGACTAGGATTATTCTAGGGCTTGGGTTTTTTTTGGGGGGCAGGGGGTTAGAGTTTGGGCTTCGAGGGTTTGGAGTTGGAGGGTTGTACGGTTTAGGATTTGGGGGTTTAGGGTCAAATGGCTACCCTTTGCATGGAGTCCCTACCTGCACGCCCCAACCTGTAGAACAATTTTTGCATGTGCGATAGTCTGAACTCCTTAAAGGGGGTTCTATAGGGGATGATATAGTGGATGACAAGGGAGATACTAGGAGTTTTGACTATAGCGCATGTAATTAGGGGTATTAAGCAAAGATTTTACTTACTCTTGGTGTCCAGGTAGAAGAAGGTTTTCCTTCAAATCCATGGGCCCACCCACCCAAAAGTTTCTTCACAAACGAGCGCCCTAAACCCGAAACCCCATATTTCTGAGGCCTACACGCTAAACTCTAAGGTTCTGAGCGTTTTGCCATACTTATGGCATGGCCGTGATGACTCTGCGCACTGAAGAGGTTCACTTCAACACCCCAACCCTTAAAATCAGGGTTTAAGGTTTAGGGGTTTAGGGTTGAGGGCTTGGGGCTTGACCCCAAACTTGAATCCCCAAACCTTCAACCCTATAGGGTCAACCCAGAACCTAAGCACTCAACCCTACGTGTCCCCCTAAGCCTTTCAATTCCTAAACCCTGAGCCCTACACCCCATACCCTAAACCCTAAACCCTATACCCCGAACCCTTTAACCTGTAAAACTCTAAACCCCGAGCCCCAAACCCAAGCCCTAATCCCTGAAGCCGCTTCAAAGGTCCCGTAAAACAACTCTACACCCTGATCCCCAAAATGCTAGGGTTTAGGGTTTAGGATTTACTGGGTTGCTGTTAAGGAACTTAGATTAAGTTACTATATTGGGAAAACCCTATTATTTACTATATATACCCATTATGGTAACTTAACTTAAGTTCCTTAACAGCAACCCAGTTTAGGGTGGGTCCAGGAGTGCCAGCTACGAAACGGCAAAGATACAGGCTTCCTACATGGAACCCTCGCTGAAGGTCTAGGGGTTGTGGTTGAGGGGTCGGCTTTCAGTTTAAAGATGCAGGCTTCTTCATGGAAGAATTGCTGAGGGTGTAGGGTTAGATTTAACAGTGTAACTGGCATTTTGTTTGATCTTGAGCCTTATGCAGCTTGGCGTTTAGGATGAGGTCCTAGGTCCTAGAAGATGCAAGCTTCCGAGATGGAATCCTGGCTACACTTCTCCTAGATACTGTCCATGCTAGGCCTTGGAGGGCCAATAACCTGATTTGGGTCCTGTGCGCAATTTGATTCGACTGTTTCTTCGGCCCTAATAAGAATAGCATAAAAACGTCAGAAAGGATATTTGCCCGCCCTTTCCTGGATGTCTTATAACTAACACGTAATGCCACACATCGACTGTATGCAAGGCGTGTTGAGGGCAGCAAATGAATGCTGAAAAACACAGTTGTCGTGTTTGGGCTTTATGGACACTACCATTGGGTTGGGTACGAAAACTGCAAAGGAATCCTGGAAAAATCTCCTCTCCGACTCCATCGACCTTGATAAGGGCACAACGCGCTTGGCTAAGCTACATGGCTGCATCGCGGCGTGGGCTTCCAAGCTCGTCACCCGGCTTTAGAGATGTTTGGGTTTAGGCGCTAGGGTCTTTGTTTGGGATGTTCAAAAAGTTCTCGCGTAAAGTAGGTTGACTGGCGAGTGTATGCCTTCAGCGTGCACTTGGGGCGAGCACAAGTGTATTTGCATGTCATGTAGATGTAGGGCAGATGTGTGCAATGACCCTCAGGTAAACTCAACAAAATTCAACATGTTTTTTGCCTTTGTGATCCTGACCAACTCGGTGTACCTCGGTGCCCAAGTGGAGCTCACTGCGAACTCGGGGACAATGTTTGTTCATCCAGTTTGGTTCATCATCCACCTTGTATACGTCGGCCTTTTCTCTGTAGAGATTGCGCTGCGAGTCATAGCTGTTGGACCTGTCGCCTATTTGACTGGAAATGGCTGGGCGTGGCATTGGCTCGACACAGTCGCAGTGTCTTGCTCGCACCCCTGAACCCTAAACCCTAAACATGTAACATCGTTGAACAAGTCCAACTCGGGGTTTCCAATGCATACATCGGTTTCCCGAAGTCTGGATACGCTGGTTTTCGAAAATTAGGGGTCCGTTTTGAAGGTCCTCGTATTAAGGATTACGGGTCTACATGGGGGTCCACTTGTTACCGGAGACTGACATATATCTTTAGGTCTCAAGTTTTTTGGAAATAACGCAGTGGGGGCAGCTCTGTTATCTCCCACACTATTGACCTGACGGTTGCTAAACTCCATTTGAAGATCCTCAGCTTATAGAAACTGCACGTGAGGCTTCACGTTTAGAACATGTATCCTAAGTGTCGTTTCAATGAGCATGGCTGGCCCTAAGCCCTGAACCCTAAACCCGAACCCCTAACCCCTAACCCCTAAACCCTAAGCCCTAAACCCTAACCCCTAAACCCTAAACCCTAAACCGCTGAGGTTCTTTCCTCATGGGTGGAGTTGGTAGTGGACCTCCTGGACAGGTCAGGCAAGTATTCTGCAGCTGCCAGCAATTTTCGGATCATGCGAATCTTGATGAACAAGATAGATGAGATATCCTTGGCACAGTTTTGGGAAAGACGTAGAAAATGATGGGATGCGAATGATGGTGATGAGTGTTGACGGTTGGCGATGAATCTGCTGAACATCTCTTTGGTGTTGGTTGTTGAAGACACCTGTTCCAAGATTGCTATATCATCTTGTTGGAGTCAGGACCTCGCTTGCAAAAGTTGTTGTTACCGAGTGCGCGTCTTTCAGGAGGAACTTTAAGAGCACTCTTGATTTGGCTGTTTCTGCAAGTTTTCCGCGCCCATCTACTTCCAAGTCCCTGGAGCCTAAGCCCTAAGCCGTAATTAGACTTTTGGAATTCGCAAAGGCATCTTGGATCTGGTGCCATCATTCGGACTGAATCCTAACCGGTTTCGGGTGTAGGGCTTAGAAGCCCAAACAACAGGGATAGTGGAGCATCACATAGAAAAGAAAGATCACCATGAATTGGAAGCTGGGTTTAGACATTTATAGGGGCCATTACGGATTGAGCAGCCTGGATAACTGCTAGTACATTCCCCGTATAATGCTTTAATATGCTATTCTGCACACCAACGTGCAAGAAAGGCCTCCGCATCGAAAACTGGAACAAGCAGAACGGAGCCAAGCCTTATCGAGGCATTGGCATACGAAGGTGGTTCGCGCCTTCAAACCGGCACGCAATAGACTCGGCAGCTGAGGAATGGGTAGAGGATCAAGGTTAGCAGGACCGGTTGGGAGCAGGGGGGGGCAAGACGCCCTTCGCTCGGCCTCTCCGGGAGCAGCGTCTTGGGGTTATATTGGGGTAATGTTAGGGTAATATTAGGGCTATACTGGGTTTAGAGGCCGTTTCAGATGCCACTGGCTGTTGGTTGCTGCGGCTTTCGGTGATGCAGTGGCAGTGACAACCGCTTACTTGCTCCAAAGCCCCAAAGCCCTATTCTTCTTCGATGATGGCCTACACCCTACACCTTAAAGGCCCCTAAATTAGCATTATTATGAGAAACCCCAAAACGGTACCCCTAATTTTGGGAAAGCCCCAATGATTTTGCAAACAACCCATATTCTTTAATTACACATAGACACCAAAATACTATAATCCTTATTATGGGAACCGCCAGAATGGTACCCCTAATTTTGGGAACCCTACCCCTAAACCCTAAAACCCTGTATACACCCCTATTCAACCCCTATAACCCTTTTGGGAAACCCCCAGTTTAGGGTTTCTGGCCACATGCAAGGAATCTTCCGCATCACTCGCCTGGTCAAGGTCGTGCGCTCCCTGAGCCTGGTACGTTTTATTGGCGCCTTGCGCACCCTCGTCTACTCGATGCTGCTGCTGAATTTATGCTTTAGCGTTTTGTTTAGGCTTCGGGTTCTATTTGGGTTTAGGGTTTAGGGTAGGGTTTTATTTGGGGATACTATAGCCCTCACAGAGGATGGGGTTTCGGGATATTGCCGCCAAGAATGGAGAATCAAGTGGGAAAGAAAATGGAGAATGAAAT